CTGTGAAGGCAAGGTCTTAATTATATTGCCCTGGCTGGTCACGAACTCCTGGCCTCAAGTAATCCTTAATGAGCCACTGCACCAGGCCCCTCCTACTTTCTTTATTCTAGTTTGACTTAAAGGTAATTCAGGCTTGGTATTTTAAAAACATTCCTTGAATTTGGCCAGGCGTGGTTGTTAACGCCTGTAATCCCAGCACTTAGAGGCGGAGGTGGGCAGATCATCTGTAGTCAGGAGTTTGAGACCAGCTTGGCCAACATGGTGAAACCATGTTCTTACTAAAAATACAAAAATTAGCTGGGCAAGGTGGTGGGCACCTGTAGTCCCAGCTATTCCAGAGGCTGAGGTAGGAGAATCACTTGAACCCAGGAAGCAGAAGGTGCTGTGAGACAAGAGTGTACCCCTTGAGCCTGGGTGACAGAGCGATACTCTTTTCTCTAAAAAAATTATTGCGTGACACTTGGAAATTCTGCTGTAGGGCAGAAAATACACAAGAGGAGCTCCGAGAATTCCAGGAGGGAAGCCGAGAATATGAAGCTGAATTGGAGACGCAGCTGCAACAAATTGAAACCAGGAACAGAGACCTCCTGTCAGAAAATAACCGCCTTCGAATGGAGCTGGAAAGCATCAAGGTGAGGGTCTGAGAGGAAGTGTGCTCAGGTGTAGACAGGCTTCCAACATGGGAATGGTATGCTTGGCTGGAAGAAGGAACCCTGTAATGAGGGGCTCCAGGCTCCAGGCCCATGCCCAAGGGCCTGTAGGGGTGGACATGGTGGACATGAATTCTTTGTGCCTCTAATGGGTGGAGCTTTTTTTTCTTTTTTGAGACGGAGTTTCACTGTTGCTACCTAGGCTAGAGTGCAACGGTGCAATCTTGGCTCACTGCAGCCTTCACCTCCCAGGTTCAAGCTATTGTCCTGCCTCAGTCTCCTGAGTAGCTGGGATTACAGGCACCTGCCACCATGCCCAGCTAATTGTATTTTTAGTAGAGATGGGGTTTTATCATGTTGGCTAGGCTGGTTTGGAACTCCTGACCTCAGGTGATCCATGATGGGTGGAGGTTTGAAAAGCAAGTTACACACATGTTCCCATGGACTTTCTTGGTTATCTACACCGATTTTATAGGGCATATGGCAAGGAGACCTTTTTTTAAAAAAAAATTTTTTTTTTTGAAACAGGGTCTTGCTCTCTTGCCCAGCCTGGAGTACAGTGGCTGGATTATACTCACTGCATCCTTGACCTCCCAGGCTCAAGCACTCCTCCCACCTGAATCTCCAGAGTAGCTGGGACTATAGGCGTGCGCCACCATGCCTGGTTAATTTTTGTATTTTTATAGAGATAGGGTTTTGCTCTTTTGCCCAGGTTGGTCTTGAACTCCTGGACTCAAGCAGTTCTCCTGCCTTGGCACCCCAAAATGCTGGTATTACAGGTATGAGCCACTACCTGGCCAGGGAGACTAGAGTATGGAGGTCTTGCTAGACTAATAAGGTCCAGTATTGTAGTCCTTAGCTACATGTGGCTGTTGAAATTTTTTTTTTAGATGAGTCTTGTCTCTGTCACCCAGGCTGGAGTGCAGTGGCTCCATCTTGGCTCACTGCAACCTCCGCCTCCCGGGTTCAAGCAATTCTCTTGTCTCAGCCTCCTGAGTTGCTGGGATTACAGGCATGTGCCACCATGCCCCGCCAATTTTTTTATTTTTAGTATAGACAGAGTTTCACCATCTTGGCCAGGCCGGTCTCAAACTCCTGACCTCAGGTAATCCATCTGCCTTGGCCTCCCAAAGTGCTGGGATTACAGGTGTGAGCCACTACACCCGGCTGTGGCTGGTGAAATTTAATGAATTAAAATAAGTCACAGTAGCCACAATTTAGGTGCTTAGGAGCCACATGTGGTCAGTGAGTTTCCTTAGTGGACAGAGGGATGTAGAACATTTCCTTCATTACCAAAAGGTCTGTTGGACTGGGCCAGTTCAGAGCAGGGTTCTTGACCTGGGTGCTGTTAACATTTGAGCCTGGGCTATCCTCTGTTGGGAAGGACTGAGATTTGCTTTTTGGGATTTTTTTTTTTTTTTTGAGATGGAGTTTTACTCTGTTGCCCAGGCTGGAGTGCAATTGCATGATTTCAGCTCACTGAAACCTCTGACTCCCAGGTCCCAGCAATTCACCTGCCTCAGCCTCTTGAGTAGCTGGGATTATAGGCACCCTCTACCATGCCTGGCTTTTTGTGTTTTTAGCAGAGACAAGGTTTCACCATGTTGGTCTCAATCTGACCTCAAGTGATCCGCCTGCCTCAGCCCCTCAAAGTCCTGGGATTACAGGGGTGAGCCACTACGCCCGGCCACATTGTGGAATGTTTAGCAGCATCCCTGGCCTCTACCCTCTAGATGCCATTAGCATCCCCCTCCACTTCCAAGGTGGTGACAACCAAAAGCATCTCTAGACATAGCCACGTATCTGGAAACCCACTGGTCTGACAGGTAAAGACCGTGCCTTCCGTACATTCTGTAGGGCTCAGCAAGGGATCAGTAAGTCAACACCGTGCCCCAGAAGCTGGCTCTCAGCCCTGCTGCCAGCCAGCATCACTGGCCCAGCTTCATAAATACCCGACAGGCCTGAACCCTCTCTCCCCATCCTCATCTCCCCACCTCGAGCTGAGATTCCATTTCTCAGTAAGTCTGGGTGGGGTCTTGGTACGTGTGTGTGTGTTCTCATTAAGCTCCCCATGTAAATTTTTCTTTTTTAAGACAGCCTTGCCCTGTCACCCAGGCTGGAGTACAGTGGCATGATCTTGTCTGACTGCAACCTCTGCCTCCCAGGTTCAAGCGATTCTCCTGCCTCAGCCTCCAGAGTAGCTGGGATTACAGGTGCACACTGCTACGCCCAGCTTATTTTTGTATTTTTAGTAGAGATGGGATTTCACTATGTTGGTCAGGCTGGTCTCAAACTCATGACCTTATGATCCACCTGCCTTAGCCTCCCCAAGTGCTGGGATTACAGGTGTGAGCCACAGTGCTTAGCCACTCCCCATGTAAATTTTGATGAGCTGCTTTGTGGAAGAGTCAAAACCGTGTGTGCCCAGGACTAGGTGTGGTAGACCATGAAAGGGGAAGTGCTGGTTGCCTTCTTTGGGAGGACAAACCTAATGCCATGAAACATTTGGGGTTGTGGAGTTCAGTCACAGAGCTCTGATGTGGGAGCCTTTCAGGAGAGAAAGGACAGCCGGGTTCAATGACACATGCCTGTACTCCCAGCACTTTGGGAGGCTGAGGCGGGCACATCACGAGGTCAGGAGTTTGAGACCAGCCTGATCAACATGGTGAAACCCTGTCTCTACTAAAGATACAAAAATTAGCTGGGTGTGGTGGCCGGTGCCTGCAATCCTAGCTACTCAGGAGGCTGAGGCAGGAGAATCATCTGGACCTGAGGCAGAAGCTGCAATGAGCCAAGATCATGCCACTGCACTCCAGCCTGGATGACAGAGCAAGATGTCATCTCAGGAAAAAAAAAAAAAAAAAAAAAAAGAGGACTGTGTGGGTTGGGGGAGGCTTTGTGGAGGGCATTTGCAGGTGTGGTCACTGACAGCCTGGTGCCTGGGGGATGGGGCCAAGGGAGAGTTGATCGGACCCATCACAGGCATGGACTAGAATGGGTGTTGGGTGGACCTTGGCAAGCCTGGCTTTGCTAATGCATAGGAAAGGGTGTGGGACCCACCAGTGGATTGGAGGTTTGGGGCAGGGCAGAGGAAAGGTCCCAAACACATGGAAGGTGAGCAGTGGAGCTGAAGCTTTCTGTTGCAAAGCAGAGCCCAGCTGGCCGTCTGCTGATCCATTTGCCCACTGGTGGTGTTTGATCAGCCTTCAGTGGCTTTTGTTCCACATTTCCCCGTGAATGTTTTCCAGCATACAAGGCTGAAAGAATTTCCAGTGAATACCTGTGAACCCACCACTATCTAGGCGCTACCAATAATATTTACTCTATTTGCCTTTTATTATATATATTCTCAGCCATCAAAATTGGTAAGGCTTCCTGCAAAAAGATGGATTTCTGGCCAGGCACGGTGGTTCACACCTGTAATCCCAGCCCTTTGAGAGACTGAGGAGGGAGACTCGCTTGAGACCAGGAGTTCAAGGCCAGCCTGGGCAACATAGTGAGACTGTCTCTGCAAAAAAATCAAAATAAAAAAATTAGCCCAGCAAGGTGGTGCACACCTGTAGTTTCAGCAACTCAAGAGACTGAGGCAAGAGGATCGCTTGAGCCTAGGAGGTCGAGGTTGCAGTTACCTACGATTGTACCATTGCACTCCAGCCTGGGTGACAGAGCAAAAGTTAAAATAAAAAATAAAAAACCTGACTAGTGGTTGCTTAGAACAAACATTCTCGAGTTTGCCCCAGTCCCTGTATCCCTGACACTGAGGCCTTCGTGTCTTTGCTGCCTCTCCCTGAAGCTGGCCCGCTTCACCCACTGTTAACAGCTGAACGCCTGCTACAGGCAATTGGGCATGATTATCTTTCTTTTTGTTGTAGTTGGAGACAGTCTCCCTCTGCCACCCAGGCTGGGGTGCAGTGGGGCAATCTCAGCTCACTGCAACCTCTGCCTTCCAGTCTGAAGTGATCCTCCCACCTCAGCCTTCCAGTAGCTGGGGTTACAGGCCCCCGGCACCATGCCTGGCTAATTTTTGTTATTTTTTGTAGACACAGAGTTTTACCATGTTGCCCAGGCTTGTTTGAACTCCAGAGTGCAAGTGATCTGTCCGCCTTGGCTTCTCAAAGTGCTGGGATTACAGGTGTGAGCCACTGTGCCTGCTGATTGTAGTTCCTAAATTGAAGGGGCCTCAGGGTTGAAAAGCTGGGTAGAAGAAAGATGAGCGGTATGAACTGCAGTTTCTGGTGGATAACAGGCCCTCCATGGATCCAGCGTAAAATATCAAGCAGTCACTAAATAATTTTCTGCTTCAGGACTGAGCCTTTTTTTTTGTTTTGAGATGGAGTCTTGTTCTGTCACCCAGGCTGGAGTGCAATGGTGCGATCTCGGCTCACTGCAACCTCTGCCTCCCTGGTTCAAGTGATTCTCCTGTCTTGGCTTCCTGAGTAGCTGGGATTACAGGCGTGCACTAGGACGCCCGGCTAATTTTTTTTGTATTTTTAGTCGAGATGAGGTTTCACCATATAGGTTAGGCTGGTCTCAAACTCCTGACTTTGTGATCCGCCTGCCTCGGACGCCCAAAGTGCTGGGATTACAGGCATGAGCTATGGCGCCTGGCCAAGAATGAGCCCTTGAACCTGGAGGAGACCCCTTCATTTACAACCATGTCAGATGCATGAGACTCAGAGCACACAGCACGGGGAAGAAACCTTGGAATAACGAGGACCCTGCCACCAGCAAATATTTGTCAGTCACCTAAGAGAAATGCATTCAGCTGGGCCAGACTTCTTAACAACTGGCTTATTCATCACGGGTTGAATGAAAAAGCCTTTAAGGGACCAAACAGAGCATCTATTGATGCCCCCATCAGCTGACAGCTTATTCGAATTAGCCCCAAATGGCAGCACAACATTTCAGCGACAGGTTTTCGTGTCCGCAGGTTCCAAGGAGATCTCCGAATTGCTAATGCATAGGCTGCAGAGAGCACTGGCTGCATCCTCCCGGAGCCTACGTTTGAATTTAGGCTAAAGACTTAAGATGCTGTTTTATTTGGAGATGTTCCCAAGTAGAGGGTGTGAGGCGATGAGAGCCACGCCTGGGAACTGGGAACGGGCCTGATCTGTCTCTACTTGCTGGGTGCAGTAAACGTCTCCGCTTACAGCCAGGAAACGGGAGGGCGGGGTGCGGAAGTGGACCGCCCTCCCGGTCCCTCCGCGCTGTAAATCACCTTCTTGTTCTTTCTTTGGAGTCTTCCTGCACTGTGGCCCTCGCCACGCCTCTCTGGCCTCGGCACCATTACATCACCCTTCTGGGTGCATCTGGACTTTCCAGCAACAGCTTTGTTTACTTGACTGAAGGTGGAGGAGTTGGCCTTTTTTAAAAAAACAAAAAACTTTCGAATTAGCCCCTGTGTGTTTCTTGTGGTAAGTGTTTTCTCTCATGTTTGTAGAATCTAGGCTGCGTGTTTTGCAAGTGATTCCCCTGCCTCAGCCTCCCAGGTAGCTGAGACTATAGGCACATGCCACCATACCCAGCTGTTTTTTATATTTTTGGTAGAGATGGATTTTCGCCATGCTGGCCAGCCTGGTCTCAAACTCCTGACCTCAAGTGGTCCGCCCTCCTTGGCCTTCCAAGTAGCTGGGACTACAGCTGTGCACCACAGCTTCAAGCTAATTTTTGTATTTTGGTTTCACCACATTGTCCAGGCTGGTGATTTTTTTAAGCGTCACGGTCTCACCCTGGCGTGGGCTGGAGTGCAGTGGCATGATCTTGGCTCACTGCAACCTCTGCCTCCACGGTTCAAGTGATTCTCCTGCCGCTTCCCAAGTAGCTGGTATTTCAGGCACCCGCCAACACGCCATGCTAATTTTTTGTATATTTAGTAGAGATGGGGTTTCACCTGGTTGCCAGGCTGGTGATATCTTTTTTTTTTTTTTTTTTTTAAAGCATCAGGGTCTCACTCTCTGGCCTGGGCTGGAGTGCAGTGGCATGATCATACCTCACTGCAGCCTCAATCTCCTTGCCTCAAGCAGTCTTCTGTCACCCTCCCAAGTAGCTGGGACTACAGGTGCGTGCCGCCATGCCTGGCTGTTTTTTAAATTTTCTGTAGAGACAGCCTTGGTGTGTTGTCTAGGCTGGTCTGCCTCTGCCACCTGAAAAGTGCTGGCATTGCAGGCATGAGGCATTGCACTTGACTCTGGGTGTTTGGTGAAGGAAGGTAATTTGGAAGCGGAGCAGGAGCAAAATTGAGAGAGCACGGGAGTGGCCAGGTGATCTGGAGTGAAATGGTTTAGGGGCTTTTAGCATAATTGCTTAAGGACACCTGCTCAGGAGGCTGGGGTTTGATCCTGGGTCAGTACATAGGTAGTGTACTTAGCCCGGAGGCCAGCACAGAATAAGCATGTAATGGATGTTACTTCGGCAACTGGCAACAAGGAATCTTTGAGAAGTCAGCTGGACTGTTTCTTTGGTAATTAACAAGGTCACTCCTTTTCCTTTCTGTCTCCCTCCCTCCCTTTCTCTTCTCTCCCTCTTCTCTCTTTCCACCTCCCTTTCTTCCTCCCTCTCTTCTTTTCTTATGTCTTTGTGTTCTTATTTTTTGTATTTTGTTTTTTATTTTTATATTTTGAGAAGGAGTCTTGTTGTTGCCCAGGCTGGAGTGCAGTTATGCAATTTCTGCTTGCTGCACCCTCCACCTCCTGGGCTCAAGCGAGTCTTCTGCCTCAACCTCCTGAGTAGCTGGGATTGTAGGCATGTGCTACAATGCCTGGCTAATTTTTTTTTTTTTTTTTGTATTTTTAGAGATGGCCTTTCAGCATGTTGTCCAGGCTCGTCTTGAAATCCTGACCTCAGATGGTCTGCCCGCCTCAGCCTCCCAGAGTGCTGGGATTATAGGTGTGAGCTACTGTGCCGGGCCTGTCTTTCTGTTTTTAAATAACCCAGAAATCGGAATTTTCCTTCTCTCTCCATGCTACAACAGGGAGTCCTGGATCAACAATTCAGAATGGTTGACTGTTGTAAAACCAAGTACATGCTGCCCTCCCATTGTTGGGGCACAAACAAGGGAAGTCATTGTGATTCTTTTTTTTTTTTTTT